TGCAATTCATCCTCCTCTGTAACAGTGTGAAGAGCCATCTGCTGGAATAACAAAGGCTTCTTGATTACGCTGATGCAATTCATCCTCCTCTGTAACAGTGTGAAGGGTCATCTGCTGGAATAACAAAGGCTTCTTGATTACGCTGATGCAATTCATCCTCTTCTGTAACAGTGTGAAGGGCCATCTGTTGGAATAACATGTTAGGTTGTAACGTTTCCAGTTGTGGTCAATATAGATTCTGCGGCACGTCAAGGTACGTGTTCTCCATAACAATTGTCTGTGCGAAACAGAAAACGGACCAATGGCAGTGTTATAGATTATTGCTATCCAGATAGGCCCGGCATGGCCAGGTGGTTAGGGCGCTCGACTCGGAATATGCGGGTTCGAATCCCCGTCCCACCAAACATGCTCGCCCTTTCAGCCGTGGAGGCGCTATAATGTGACGGTTAATCCCACTATTTGTTGGTAAAAGAGTAGCCCAAGAGTTGGCGGTGGGTGGTGATGACTAGCTGCTTTCCCTCTAGTCTTACACTGCTAAATTAGGGACAGCTAGTGCAGATAGCCATCGTGTAGCTTTGCGTGAAATTCAAAAAACAAACAAACAAACAAGCTATCCAGACGTTCTTTCAGACTGTCTTTAACAGGTTCACGTGCTATAAAAACTTTAAACGTTTTTCTTGCACGTGCAACAAACCGTGTGTATTTACTTTAAAGATTTTTCCGGTATGATTTTTTCATTATTGGACAACCTGTACTATAATTTCAAAGAAGCATTGCTTGTATTTACAAAAGATTTTAGCTAGAGGTTGTTTATTTATAGTTAAGCACAAAGTTACACAATGGGCTATCTGTGCTCTGCCCATCACGAGTATCGAAACCCGGTTTCTAGCGTTGTAAGTTCGCGGACATACAGTTGTGCCACTGGGCCACGGAGGTTGAGAATCGTCGTTACCATTCATGGCGTATTCGTGTGTCAGATGTCTGGATATGTTATACAGTTGACTTTTGATCATTCGAGGTAATGGAGGGGGGAAGGGACACGGATAAAGCAAAAACACTATAACATAAAACATATAAAAAAATCGTACATATATGTTAGAGGCGAAAAACATACGATATATACAACTTAAAATAATAATTTAAAGTCCTCTCGTTTCTGTTGATGTGCTTTTTTAAACTGCAAAACGCAGCTAAAAAAATACGCAATAAATAAAAGATAAAATAACGAAACGAATAGAAAGAAGAAAATAACGAATAGGAACTGTAGTGAAAGGATGTCGAAGCTACTCTGAAATACTACATATCATAGCACGGTTAGACAGCAAACCGAATAATTGAGAGTCAACTATATGTTACTGTTGAAGGCATTAAATTTTCAATCGAATATTTCTTCAACATTCCTTTTATTCTGTTCTTTTTTGTAAACAAATTATTTTGTGTTAACCTCCACATCTTATAAAAATTTATTCCGAGTTAACGAGAGTTAAATTGTTTTTTTACATTTTAATCTTTTGTTACGAGGAGTAATAAATCTTACACTTTACTAAATTGAGTATCAAATTATATAAAAGTATACCGAACGCAATACCTTAGCTCAAATAAATTAAATAATTTGTCCAAATCCTTTTATTCCTTGTTTCTGCTTCAGGAACAATATAGCAATCCATCTGAGTAGCACAAGACAAGAGTGGAAAGTGTCAACTACGCTAAAACAAATGTCACACGTACTTCTGACACATTAAGGCTAGTTTATACGTACTTCTGACACATTAAGGCTAGTTCACACTGAGTCGCATGTACTTGTGACACATTAAGACTAGTTCAAACTGAGTCGCACGCACTTGTGACACATTAAGGCTAGTCCACACCGAGCCGCACATACTTGTGACACATTAAGGCTAGTTCACACTCAGTCGCACATACTTTTGACACATTAAGGCTAGTTCACACTGAGTTGCACGTACTTGTGACACATTAAGACTAGTTCAAACTGATCTGCACGTACTTGTGACACATTAAGGCTAGTCCACGCTGAGTCGCACGCACTTGTGACACATTAAGACTATTTCACACCAAGCCGCACGTACTTGTGACACATTAAGGCTAGTTCACACTCAGTCGCACATACTTTTGACACATTAAGGCTAGTTCACACCGAGTCGCACGTACTTGTGAGACATTAAGACTAATCCACACTGAGTCATACGCACTTGTGACACATTAAGACTAGTCCACTCTGAGTCGCACTGAAGGGTGTTTACTTCATCACGTAATATGTGTTCAAATATATTTTGTATTATTCAGTTCGTGCAGGGTTCCAATTCTTTACTTACGACAAATTATCTATTTCCAAAGAACTTGCTGTTACGTCTCTGTAAGTTCGTTTGTTAATTTTCCTGCGATACAAGTCCTTTCTTAAATAAAACTAGTTTATTCTTACTCAATACAAATTTGCAATACACTTAATTTCCACAGTTACTTTCACTTAAACACATGCTATAATTCACAACAATTCACTCACTTTACTATGGCGCTTGACTTAATTCTCTATCTTCACCTGTCAGCAACTATAGTTCCCACCAACCGTAACTGCTGTCCTTGGTTCCCCACCTTTCCTCTCTCCTTTGTCTAGCACACTTATATACGATAATAGCGCCCGCGTAGTCTCTTCAAGAATCTTCTAGACACTCATCACGTGTTACCAACGTCACGTGACTTCCGCTGTCGTAACCCAAATGCGTGCATAGCACGCACTAGCGTTTTTCGCGAGCCTTCTAGATACTCATTACGCGTTACCAACGTCACGTGACTTCCGCTGTCGTAACATTGCATTGTATTGAATTATGTATTACAAAAAGTCGATAAAGTGGTTTTGAGGCTTAGATGTGTTTGAATATATCTGACCCACATATTTCATTCGTTTGTCTTGTTATGTCTGTATAATTAGTTTCCATAAGTGAAATAAATTCGGCATGTACAACGGTATCATTGTTAGCCATTTTGTTATGGACTTTATACCTAGAAATACGTCAGAGTCTGAGTAGTGTGAAGTACTCACCATTTCACACGTTATCATTACGCTTCTTACGCTTTGCATGTGAAATTACCTTTAGTCATAGAGTGTAATAAATGTACAATCCCATACGGGATATTTTGTTTGTTGTTTATATATATATTAGGTGTAGAAAGAAGCTGTCTGCATTACAACACGAGACTTACACATGTGTCGAACAGTGTATGAGGGATAATAGGAATTGGCTAGAACTTTTGAAGCTTACATACTAATTGGATGTTCACGGGGGGCCATGCAAAAAACGTGGCAGCTATGGCAAGTCGCCATAAGCTCGAAAATTCTTCTTTGTTTTATAAATTTCGGTCGGTAATTTTCAACTCTCCAATTACGTTTCCATCAACCAAGTTAAACTCGGGGTCAGTCTGTCTTCTACGTTGTTGGTTTCATATATCGTCCAATATTTTTTACTCTTATAGTTTTCCCAATTAATGCCCCCCCCCCCCCAGTGGCACAGCGGTACGTCTGCGGACATACAATGCTAAAAACCGGGTTTCGATACCCGTGGTGGGCGGAGCACAGATAGCCCATTGTGTAGCTTTGTCCATAACTACAAACAAACCTAATTAATGTCATTCGAATCGGCCCGCCCTCTAGTAGCCGAATTACTTGTTATTACAAATTTAATTACCAAGCTACTTCAGTAAAAAAATCTGACCAGCTCTTGTCAAAATGAAAAACATATTTTCTGTTTTTATGTAACATTGGTTCCATATATCTTCCAGTATTTTTTATGATGAACTATTTTTCGTAATTGTTTTCCTCGGACCCTTAGTAGCCGCAATAATGAGGTTTCTCGTTATATATATATTCGGTTACTAGTCTACTTTCATAAGAGTTGACATTTTCTCAAACTTGATCAGTTCCTAGAAAAAAAAATAGTCTGTCTGAAAACTGAGCTCTGTTTTCCTTCTTTATTTCAATTTTTGTTCCCAGGCAATCCAATAAAACTGAGTTACTACGAACATTAAAGTGGTTGGGCCCCCCAGTGGCACAGCGGTATGTTTGTGGAGAAACCGAGTTTCGATACCCGCGGTGGGCAGAGCGCAGATAGCTCATTGTGTAGTTTTGTGCTTAATTACAAACAAACAATAAAGCCCCCTAGTGGCACAGCGGCATGTCTGCGGACTTACAACGCTAGAAACAGGGTTTCGATACCCGCGGTGGGCAGAGCACAGATAGCCCATTGTGTAGCTTTGTGCTTAATTCCAAACAAACAAACAAAGTGGTTGGGAAAAACAAAAGAGAAACGAAACAGGCCCGAACAGAGTAAACAAAACATTACAATATTTATAAAGAGTTCACGTTTATAATTTCCTATTTTTCCCAAAACAGATGATTTTTTAAAAATATATTTATGATATAATAGAACGTACAGTTTATTACAATTATTATGATATATACATAACGTAACTATCTAAGATAAATTTATTTAACTAGCATAGGCCTGGTAAAAAAAATGCTCTTCACACGCCTACAAAAGCCTTCGCATGGATCTGGTTATTGAATATCTTCACAATTTCTGTTAACGAGTTATTTTCCTCGTTGATTTTAGATCCAATGTATTTTCTTCTCATTTCTTTTGTCGGCTCGTAGACCAAAAACAAGTGACAACGCTACCAGAGAAAACGGCTAGTCTGGGTAACAACTGGAACTCTTGAATTAGATCCACATACTTAGATCACCTCATTCGTTGTGCAGATAATGCAAAACATAGTGCCAAACTAAGTCGTAGCAGTACTTGTATTCTGTCTGTTGAGATACAAAATAATGTATTCAATTTATTGAAACTAATTGATACAAGGATACAATATTGTACTAAGATATATGAACAAAACATAGTGCCAAACTAAGTCGTAGCAGTACTTGTATTCTGTCTGTTGAGATACAAAATAATGTATTTAATTTATTGAAACTAATTGATACAAGGATACAATATTGTACTAAGATATATGAACGAAACATGTGTTTAACTTAGTGTTAACATCATCGTCACAGCATTCATTGTTCTAGTTCAGTCATTTTTACACATTTAATAATTTTTCAATCAACGATAATACACTGAAGATATATGAACGAAACAGTGTTAACACTAAGTTAAACACTATTAAATGTGTAAAAATGACTGAACTAGAACAATGAATGCTGTGACGATGTTTTCAATCAACGATAATACACTGAAGATATATAAACGAAACAGTGTTAACACTAAGTTAAACACTATTAAATGTGTAAAAATGACTGAACTAGAACAATGAATGCTGTGACGATGTTTTCAATCAACGATAATACACTGAAGATATATGAACGAAACAGACTGTTAACACTAAGTTAAACACTATTAAATGTGTAAAAATGACTGAACTAGAACAATGAATGCTGTGACGATGTTTTCAATCAACGATAATACACTGAAGATATATGAACGAAACAGTGTTAACACAAAGTTGAATGTTATTAAATGTGTAAAAATGACTGAACTAGAACAATGAATGCTGTGACGATGTTTTCAATCAACGATAATACACTGAAGATATAT